CTTCAACCTGAAGCCAGTTATTACAGACATGCAACGGTGATAAAAAGTCCAATTTTCCGTGTCCATCCATGAACATATATAAATCACATCACATTCTATCAAAGCATTTTCACAAAAAAAATATCATCAAAATACCAACACGTCAACATACTCGTATGCAAACGCAATAGAACTACGTCAAAATATGAACAAAAGAACGAAAGCTTTACACGGAGACTCCTGAAAAAGTACAAGTAGACTTAGAACAGGTGTTCAGGAAGAGTAAGCGTCTTCTGCTTCAACGGCAATACCCACCGTGTAAACATTGGTCAATCTAAGTAAGTAATGTCATGATCTCAAATGAGAACAAGGTATACAACAACAGAATCTACGAAATAAGTAACTAGCATCAAGCACGTCCAGCGTGATATCATACAAAATTTCTGAACGAAATCCCATGGCAACCTTAAAGCTTCCCTTTAATTTTCAACTGTCTAAATAACAATAATTATTGCATTAGTCTGTAAAGGATGAAAATGGAAGCATGAATTCATTTTTACTCATATAATGTATATGTAACTGTAGCATATTTACATAGAACATAGAACACGTAAAATAACAATCGTTTTCCTATGAAATACACACTGTACAATGATAAAAATTATCAGAATCTTTAATTAGAGGAGTTAGTGATCTCCCGATCTATGTCTGTTTAAAAACCGTGTTAAGATACACTCGCTCGATTTTTGTAGCCTTGGCCTCTTACACTACTGATAAGACATAAGAAGATAAAACGGCTATGCGGAGAAGTTTAACTCACTAGCTGGTAGTGTTGTGTCCAATACTTTTTTATATTCGGTTTTGTGTCATTTATAAAAGCACGACAAAAGGTGTAACCTTAATATTTCGGTCCATTAACCAACATTTTTACCTGGCCTAGACGTCAAATATTTTCCCATTCACAATGGGTTCTGTTTCAGAAATACAAGTGTTTGTTTCTATACATAAGTGGGTTATGTCATTAAAGCGAGACACTTTCTCGTATACCCCGTCTATCTTGGTGTGATAGGAATGAAACAGTACGGAACACTGTGGCCGACCACAAAATGATTTACGTAATTATCTTTGTAAGTACTACTGTTTATGCTTGTTATAGACAATATGCCATAGTGATCTGGTACCAGTGATATGGTTTTGGTATACTGTATGCCAGGATATTTTCGCTACAGGTTATTTTCGCGATTGTACCATTATTCATGAATTGCCTTCGCGTTCATTTGGCTCTCTGTGGATTATATGTACGAGTTATGTAAGTATAGCATGTTTTGTCCCATCTTAAATTCGTCCTCGCTGTTCATGGGCAATAAAGGGCGAACATTTCCAGGTATACCGTAAGTTGAAAGACACGCAATTAAAAAGCACCGTTTAATATAATTTTAAAGTTATATACACTAGAACCAAACTGCACCATACAGCTGTTTCGTCCATCTAGGGCTCGTCAGTGATGCCTTTTTAAACGTTGTAAGCGACTGTGGAAAATTTACTAGTGATCCAAAACATGCCCATATCTAGATGGGGAGGTACACTAGCCCCATAATTTAAATAATAAATTTCATATCTGTGATTATTTAGCAAAAAAAAATAAGTTCATGTATTTTTCATGATCCGTGCCTGCTGTTGAAATGAATTATAGCACAGCGTGCTGGTTATGTCCGGTACCCTGGTACCCTGTCTCTTGTCTGTTCTCGAATCTACCTTTGGTGATTCTTCATGGCAATGGTGTAGACGATAATAGATAAAATCTCAAAGCAGACTGATTTTAGCTGATCACTTCTCAGAATATGTACTGTTTGGGTGAATTTATGAGCGGCCGTTTTTACTGTGTCTATACGACGCTTAATTTACTCAGAATTTAAAGCGTTTAGGTAAATAGTTAAACAGACTTCATTTCCATATGGATTTGAAGTTGCAGCCGTATTACGTCAATGCTTTAGTTAGGGTGTAAGATGTATCTGTAATCAGTATAACCATATTGGATTTATATTACAAGACAGTGATACTTCAGGTAAATACCATGAAATAAATAAAATAGTCAAACCTATTCATATTGTCGTAATTTAAGTAACGTCAATATTGAATCCTAACCATTAAGTGCATGTGTACTTGTTTCATTGCATAACAAAGCATTATCTAACAATTAAAGAAACAGGTATCGAAACACGGAATCAGGTGTATTGATTTTCGTATAAAAATATGGGTTTATGATGTGTCTATATTTGATGCAGGTGGCAGTGGTGATAGCAGTAGTAGAAGCACGTTTTGTTGTTGATGAACGTCCAGCATGTCCAGCCCCGCCGCCATGTACTTGTAGCCTCAAGGATATTATCATTGACTGCAGTGGGAAAGGCTTGACCCATGTTCCCGGTATGATCAATGGCCGCCAGCAACGCTGGGTGGTAGATATTAGTAACAACCAGCTTACTACAATCCCCAAACGAGCATTCGAAAACATAACAGTCGTCTCACTTAATATGTCACACAATCAAATGAGCACCTTGTCCATGGACTGCTTGGTAGGTTCAAATGATGTCGTCACTTCCGTTCACATGGAGTCGAACCAGTTTAGCTATCTGCCAAACGCTATTGACGATCTGACAAACCTGGAGACACTGACAATGCAAGACAATCCTTTTATAATTCTTGGAACAAGTATGTCATTTGCCTCGAAACTTCAAAACCTTACGATTGGATCTGAATACATGCCATGGCCAAAGTATATAGACCAGTTTAATGCAGTGAAGTTCCTCACAATAACAGGTCTCCCTTGCTCAGCTTTACCGTTCGATGCATTCTTCAATATGGCCGGTAAGATGAAGACGCTGGTGCTGCATGCTAATGAATGTGAAGGAATGCCGGACAGCGTGCACGTGCTCAATAATTTAGAACATTTATCGGTTACTGGGAACCATCTTCTCTCCTCGCTTGACATTCACAATCTTACATCACTCACTTCATTACTTGTAGAAAATAGTAGTCTATCAGCCATGCCCAATATTTCACAAAGTCCTAACTTACAAGATATCAACATAACATATTCTCCATTACAATCTTGGGAACCAGACACCCTGCCACGCAACCCTAAACTGAGAAATATCACACTCGATAACACAGACTTCGATCATATTCCAGCAGCTCTTCGTCAAACACCACTGGTAGAGAACTTGTCGATGAGATACACAAACGTATCAAACGTTGATGACTCTGATTTGTCTAATTTGGGTCTATTGAAAAACCTTGACCTTAGCCACTCACATTTGGAAACTATTGCTGTAAATGCTTTGAAACAAAACATGATGCTGTATTCCATCGATTTTGACAACACCAACGTCGTCGGTGTGCCGAGAGCCTTAGGTGAGGTAGACTCGCTTTACGTCCTCAACATGTCAGGTGATGATGTAGAATGTACTTGTAAAGAACTAGGATGGATGAGGGAGTGGAAGTCTCTGAGACGCTTGACAGGGTCAGGGACGTGTAACAATATAGGCATGGAATTGATGACGTATATGCGAGAATATGTACCAAGATGTGGAACGTGATGGGTTATTTTTATATTGGAAACTATTTTTAACGATACCATTCTTTTCACTTCTTAATTCTCTCTCTTTTTTTTTTTTTTTTTTTTGTCAACACAATAATCTGGTATTACACTTCATTAATATATGATGTGCACTAAAATGTTTCCTATTTATCAAAATTAATAATGTAAAATCATAGGTTTTGATTTATGTGAAAGAAAGTGTCTTACACTTGTTTTCTTTTCATATGCGATCAAATGAAACTTGACTCAAAGCCTCATTGCCAAAAAATCTAATATAAAATGAAAACTGATTTATGATATAATATATTTGTGTTTATAACCAACACACATCAAGATATGAATACAATATACATTATAGATCAATATCAAATAGAACACAAATGAGGTATGATTTCGTATTTGAGTTACCTCCCTTTCAACGTTCCTTCAATCAAAAGTACTGCTGTCAGAAAGCTAGTGTTGTGTACAGAAACCGTTACTTTTACGTGTGCGACTTCGACTTGGCTTGACTGTTGGTGATTTCTTTGTATTGATCACAAGAATTAACCAAATGTACGGAATGCTTGATGGTTGTATTGCGTTGGCCACTAGAACGATGACGATGTTTCGCACCCTATCATTCCGGTTAATGTTTAATTTTGGGTGATAATAAAATAAGATATTGCGTGGTACATAATTTTCCTTTCTAGCCAGCAGTTGATTTTATGTATTGATATAAATCACCAAATCTACTTTGACCAAGCACTTTGATGTCAGCACTTAACAAAATTAAAATGAAAACAATACACACACACAAATGTACAGTTTCACAGTAATGATTAGCTGTCTCGTTTTCAACACTATGTGATTCTATGTAAATTGTATTAAAATATCACCCTGCTAGAGCGCCTAGAATTCAATACTTACTCCACAGTTATCTGGTTTCAGCATTTTGCGTTTTAAAATACACCATAGAATTGCGATCATTTTGGATAAAGGATACGTAATGATCTATATCTATAAAGTGATAATGAGCCGAAAGAATATTGATAAGTTTACTTTAAATACTTTTATGTGTGACGACTGACATTCTTAATAGAGTAACACCATTTACTACTAATTTAGATAAGATAGGGCCAAATAAGGAATTAAATTGCATCATATCCCTGTTTCGTCGTCCTTCTAGGACTCGTCAGTGATGTCACGGTTCAAACCTACATAAAGTAGGAGGCGACTGAGTAAAATCCAAAGTGATCGATAAAAACGTCAAAGCCCCACAATTCAAATTTTCATATATCTGTGTCGTTTTAAAGAAATCCCAACGTCAAAATCATATTGAAATATCATATAACTCTATAAGTTCCTACAAGGTAAACAGACAGATGACGAGATAAGATATTGAGGTTAGAAAAGTTCAAGACTCGGTCAAAGGCCACTTGTTAAAATGGCAACACATGGAGTAAGTGTCTGTCTAATCACGGTGAGTAATACGTAGATTTGTCGTCCTGTAATGTAGTGAAGTATTCTTCCATATTGAAATCTCTGACCAGGTTCCCTTCCCCAACAAACATCGTACTTTCATATCGATTGTCAATCAGTTGTTTACATTAACCTTGTAAACATAACCCATACATATCCATATCACTTTGTTGTACCTGTCCCAAGTAAACGACGTCTCTTGGTGTTAAAGCCGATCGCTGGTAACCCTCTCACCAGTGAACGTCATCTCTTATCCTTTTATAGTAATGTACGTCTGATGTTTATATATTCTTTCAGTTGTTAATGATTATTGACACAAATGGTTCTTTTGTACCTGACGATCCAAGACCTTGTCCAGTGAAGACTCCGTGCAAATGTAGCTTTAACGAAATAGAATGCAGCAATCTTACTCAGACAGAATTTCCGTCCTTCACCAAGGTAAACGCTTCGTGGAACTGTTGGAGTCTCGTCATGAACAATAATTTCAATATTAAGAGGATTCCAGCTGGAGCTTTCGATAATGTTCCATTTTGTAATCTTCGTATTAGCCATAACGGCTTTGAAATAATGGAGGATGGAGCACTGAATGGATCAGAACCATATCTTGGAACTATTTTTATGCAGTTCAATAAATTTAAGGAACTTCCGAACGAAATTGCACGAATGCCAAACCTCACTATGCTCAGCATCAATGATAACCCTATCGAAACACTTCCACAGAAAATGGCTTTCTCGTCAACTCTACGGTTTCTCGATGTCGGATCGCCGGAAATGACGACATGGCCTGACTCAATTCGAACTCTAAAATCCGTTTGGAGTTTAACGCTATATAATTTACCAATGTCAGATCTACCTTCAGATGCATTTGAAGGTTTAGAAAACGCTGTCAGCCTTTTGACGTTTACATCAACAAAATTCAAAGCTTTTCCGAAAGCACTGAAGAGACTTAAGACAACGACAGGTCTGTCTATCACAGATAATATTGAATTGAAATCTGAAGGCATACCTGATGACGCTTTGAGTGGAATGGACTCTCTTGGAGTAATTTTCATAAGTAACAGCAGTTTAACGCGTGTTCCAAATATATCCACTAATCCATTTCTTACCTATCTGACCATAACCAACTCACCACTGTCGACATGGGATGTAACTACATTACCGAAACAGCCACTGATACAGTCAATAGATTTCAGTAACACGGATATAGATCGTATTCCAGTCCCTGTGCGCCATATCAGGAGTTTAAATACGCTTACGATGCATAATACCAAAGTGACAAATATTGGACAAGGGGACCTGGCAGGTCTTCAAAAATTACGTGAATTAAGCCTGGACAAAACTCCTCTAGCCAATATATCAATGGATGCATTCAACGATACGTACAGCCTTCAATACCTGAATATAGATTTTACAAAACTTCCGGGGTTTCCCAGAGCTATTGAACGACTTCCGGCCCTCAGAGCCGTTGGATTAGACAACATACCTATTGAGTGTTCCTGCTCAGAACTCGGATGGATGAAACATTGGATCGGCCTTCAGCAGTTTCTTGATGGTGGTGGACAGTGTCACAATATACACAAGTATTTTACAGACTACATTCGCGAGGATATACCCAAATGTCCCTGAAGGCAAGATCGGTGATTCATATCCATCAATAAATAACAAAATCTTCTTTCTTTTACATATTTCGTTTAAAATAGAACCTCAAAGTGAGAGTCGTGGAATAACTGACCGGAAGTTACGACTTGACATACATTGGTAGCATTCCTGATTTCTGTGCTTGTTACAAGTGTATACAAGTACTAGATAAGCACTAAACTTGTGGCATTTTTTCCTGCAGTCTTTTTTTCTGTGAATTTGTTTTTACGATAACAGTTCAATTTAAAACTTAATTGAAGCTGATGTAAACCTCATTGTGATCCGGACTTACTCCAATGTATAAAACACGCCAAGATGCAAAACATTCCCCTAAATCTCATCAATATTAATCTCTTGCTGAATGCGAGAATATGTAAGTAAATATTTTAAATTAGTATCTGACTTCTGACATCATTAGATTAAAGAAAAATGAGATACGTGTCGACAAAATGCAACCACAGGTTAGTTAGTACAGGCAAGTGGGAGACATTAAGTTCGGTGTTATAATGGCGATTAAAATATTCAATTTCTATTAACGATTATAAAACCGAATGACATAACACCCTAACAAAGAATTTTTCACAAATACGAGTTACACACCACAATTTTTGCTTTAGTCTGTAAGAAGAAAACGGGAAAACGGGAATATGGGAATATGAATTTATCTTTACACACCATTCTGAACAACAGAGACATTATTTCATGGCCTCGTTAAATCCAGGCAACAGACATCTTGAATCGTTTATAATGTGTTTAAACGGTGCTTAGTTGAGTTAGCGTTTGTTTCACGTTAAGTTTATATTGACATTGCGTTGTGTTTAACTTTAGTTTACGTTTAAACGGACAGACCAGGATCTGTGTACGTAACTGTGACACATTTACGTATTTTATAGAACAGACGTAAAAATATTCTTCCTTTTCTTATAAAATTGCATAATGTACAGTGATGAACATTTAGAATTTCGTGATTTTACAAAATATGCATTATCGTCGGCACTTAAAATTTCATGAATACATATTTTTCAATGGATCCGAGGTGTATATCAATTTCTATCGGTCATCAATTCGTGGACATATGAATTCGTGAACTGAAAATTCAACACATATAAAAAACGCACTAAAATGTATGATTTTACAATTATGTCTTGTACTCTATGTAGTGTCTAAACTATATCATATGCAATGAAATTTATTTTATGATAAATCACAAATACTTGCTAGTGAATGATTTCAACAATGTCAAAGTGAAAAATTCGTTTAATTAACGACATAACATGTTAATCAATAGAAATCAATCATCCCAAAGTAACTCCATATAAAATGAATACTGACAAACACAACATCATACCGTTGTTTATCTGTCACGATGATGAGGTTCCAATCCACTAAAGTTTATTCTCAGATCATGATGTTCAACCACACAGATGATTTATACAACATAATAATTATACGGAAGAGTGCATACCGAATTTAAATACATGACACTGTTATATGATTAAAATAACCTACTCTAGACTTTGGGTCAAGGGAACATGTCAGACATGAGTGTGGCTGGCTATGATTATGAGCCAAGACAGGACAGGGAGAAGGAGGTATACTTTCGGTAAGCTGTAGATAATTCCGGGAAAACTCATCTTTATCTGATAAAGTATATCTATATTAGTCTATTTCAAAACTATGTAATTGTAATAAACGACATATATTTAAACCAACTGATTCAACTTCTATCATTTTTATTTATTTTCTTTACCTTTTTATTGTGATGTTGCCGTTAACGATGTCTTAATTTCTTTTTAATTCTTGAAATCAGAGCAAATATTCACTTTTTTTATACAAACCAGAGCCAATATAGGTTAGAATAGTACACGGTATGTCTCGAAGTCATTTGTAACATTTCATCACAACAGTGTTGTGATCTGATAAATGGAGATGAACTATGATTGGCTTATAACGCGGACAACCGGATTTACACATGTTGCTCACAAGCGGAAGTGATTTACGGAATCCATTGCAATTCGTTGTTTGTACGTTGTTGGTGAGGTCAGAGGAAACCTAAACGCCAAATAAAACAATTTATAATCGTCCTGTTATCCAATTAATTCGACCATGTTATATTCTTACGTATCGTTGGTTTAGTATACTCGAGCGCGTTCATTTATCGGCTGCGCCAATCAGAAATCGATTGTGATGTCATATGGACAATGACGTAGTAAGGAAATGAAAAGCTCGCAGCAAATAGCCGACTCCGATTGTGATTGCCTTTTATGTACTTAGAAACATTTATGAGTTATTTGATAAAAAGTACATGTATCTCTAATTTCATATGCGATTTTATGAAACTTGCCTCAAAGCCTCATTGCGAAAAATCTAATATGAAATGAAATTTCATTTATGTCCCGATATATATATGTGTATTTATAAATCACATCAATCAATGTGTAAGTGTAATATAATTTGCATATAACAATATTAAAGTTGATATCACTAAAAGGAAAGGGAATACAAATGAGGTTTAATTTCGTATTTGAGTTATCTCCCTTCCAGCGTTTCTCCAGTCAAAAGTGTCGTTAACAGAAACCGTTTACTTTTACGTGTTCGGATTCGACTTCCGATGTCAAGTTTCTGATTGTTTTAATTAACCACAGGATTAGTTAGTGATTTCATTCTACTGATCATATGAATTCACCAAATGTATGGCATGCTTGATGGTTTTACTATGTTGGCCACTAGAACGATGATAGTGTTTCGGACTTGGATTCGCACCCTATCATTCGGATTAATGTTTAACTATGGTATATTGTAAACTGAGATATTTCCGTGGCACTTAAATTTCGTAATTGGTGAACAGTTGATTTTGTGGATGGATAGAACTTTCGAAATCTACTTGGGCCGAGCGCTTTGATGTCAGTTCTTTCAATGTTTTATTGTGAATAGGCATATGCGCTGTCGAATAGCAATACCCACAAATGAACGAATAAAATAAATAAAAAACCAAAATAAAATAAATAGATAAATAAAAAATCGTTCAGTCAATGAATAAATCAGAGAAAAAAACAATGAAAATTAAAAAAGAATAAAACAAAACAAAGTGAACGGTTATACACGATAAGATCAGATAAGTTTATTTCCGGTTCAGGACGTGAATAGTCCTCTTTACCTGACTCAATAATGCAGGTTAAGTTTCAAGATTCTATAATAAATAGATAAATAATTTATGTATGTTTCTCATAAAACAAATTTTCTTATTAAGTTAATTCAATAGTTAAGTTATTTCAGCTCTGTAGCTGAAGAAACCTTCTTGGTTCTTTCAGTAACGGTCTAACTCATTTTAAAATCTATTGAAAGTTTCTGCAGTAGCAATATGGTCATGTAATTTGTTCTAGATCGATGCTGATCTTATGAAAAAAAGTTTTTGCGTAGTCTAGTTGAAGCTCGTTTTGGAAAAATTGTTTTCGAGTTGATTCGCCTTCTGTCAACTCTATACAATAACACTTGTTTGTCTTTTGTTCATATTTTGCCCTAGTTTTGTCTAATTTGAGTTTGGATTATGATTATATTGACGTGTTGGTGTTTTTTGTGATGTTTTAGTACAACTGGACATTTGGTAAGGCACATGTTATTACGGGATGTCAACATATTTTCCATGATCATAACATAATTATCATAAAGACAAATGCATATTAACGCAACTAAGCGTGAAAAATTTTAAATATGCTACTTGACATTAGGAAATTAAGGACTCGTTTGTATTGCCCGTAAGTTGAATCTTCAAATGAAGTTACACACTACTTTCTATCACAGAAGACTTTGTTGTATACTTATGTACATTGTTATGTATGGAAAATTCTGTCAAAACTTTGCAATAGAAAAGTTCAGTTTTTGTAGAACTATTCAAATGTTAAAAACAATATTTTACTAGCGGGTCGATGCTACCAATTATTCATGTTTCTATGTTTCTCTATGTTCTACTGCATGCAACTTAGTTCAGTTTCTCTAAAACTTTTGCCCAATCAAAGAGTATAGTGATGAAAAGGTACAGGGATTATGTAAAGCACTGTAATTATTACCGAACACATACATATTGTTCTTACCTTTTTCACTTACATCTTCCTATTAGCAATTAGCTACTTTCCTTGTGGATCGAGTAAAAAAATAGACTAAAAACTTGATTCAAGCATAATAGATACAATTACATCAATCATGATGTATACTTCAATGCCTTGGCTTTTAAAACATAATTAGGATATAAAACTAGAGAATAAAAAGTCACAAAACACTTGATTTTAATATTTCATATTTATTTTCAAATTTTCATGTGATGAGGAGATGCTTTCAAATGGCTTCATGTTTATTACAGAGCTTACTTTGCCTTAAGTAAATATAGAATATCTATCATTAGAATCTAAGAGCACGAACATGCTAACGTGCTGCAACTTATAAATTACTTCTTGCAAAATGTATCAAAAGATATTTGTATTAATAGTGTATCTCGTGTTTTAGGTTCCCATCCCTTTGCTGTACAGATTGCAACTTTTATTATCTACATTATCAAGAAATCAGCGATACAATATATAACTAATTGCGTTCATTTCTCAATAAATTCAGAAAGCATAAATGATAATTATAATTGATACAGTGGATTACATTCAAAGTTAGATGAATTTATTGATTCTTGTACGATTGATGACTTTTTGATGCTATTCTTAATCGATTACAATTGAACATTTTAAACACAATTTTACGTACCAGGATGGAAACACTAATTGACGTACTATTTAAGAAAGAGTCGAAACGAACCGACTGGGTTAATGAAACGCTTTACATCGCTTCTGAATTTGATTTTTTTTTTTTTAAATTGAATGAAATAAACCTCCAACGTAGAAAACATAGTTGAGATAGACGTAAACCAGCTAATGAGGTTTAGTAAACCGACTGTTTTGTATAAAGAAATTAATATCTCGTGTCATTTACCTGCATAATGATCTAGA